TCTGTTGAATCTTGTGGAACTAGTTTAACGCGGCCAGGCATCGTCTTCCACAATATTATATAACATGCTATATAATATGCAGTGTACAAAAGAAAGGACAAACATGTCATGAAATTAATTGTAAAAAAGGGAAATTTTTCTTTAATACAATAGAATGAAAATAAATGTAAAATTATAATTATTAATAAGAGAAAATGAAAATATTTTGTTGAACAAAAGTATTTATTGATTAAATGCCAAGAAAATACATAAATATTTACAAATATGTAGATATTCCTAATCAATACTAAAAGATACTGTAGGCTGTTCCGCGTATATATGTAAACTGAACCTGTACTATGTACAATATGTATATTGTACTATGTAAAATGGATATATGTTTACTGAACCTTTACTTGTACTATATGTGTACTGTGTAAAATGTAAATATGTGTACTGTACCTGTACTGTGTATATGTATACAGTGTCTGTATTGTATACATGTATACTGTCCTTGTACTGTGTATATGTGTACTGTACCTGTACTTTGTAAATGTATACTGTACTTGTACTGTGTATATGTGCACTGTACCTGTACTGTGTATATGTGTACTGTACCTGTACTGTGTATATGTGTACTGTACCTGTACTGTGTATATGTGCACTGTACCTGTACTGTGTATATGTGTACTGTACCTGTACTGTGTATATGTATAGCTAGAGTTTGTGCAGTTTTCTTTCTCTTCTCGTATAACAAGACCATCCTCATACTCCTAAACAATTTCTATAGTAACTAGTTTAACCAGACCATTCTCATACTCCTAAACAGTAGCTTAATTGATAAAACATTATTAACCTTTTCTATTTTTTTTTTTGGAAACATTGACCCGCCGTTTGACCGGCCTCCACCCTACACTATGCAACAACAAAAAACTATGAAGTTGAAAAAGTTAAGAAGTTCGTTCTAATGTAATCCGTTTTTAACATATTTAGAAAACCACAGGGGGGTGGAAAGCATCCCCCCTCCCATACGTGATGAACTGACTGGGGATCTAAATCTATGTTTTGACTGGAGGGGTGGGGGGGCTATTAAAAAAATTGCCAAAAAAAAGGGTCGGAAAAATGTAAGGATTTTTTTTTGACATGGACTGGACTTTTTACCGCACTAAATTCGACCCTTTGCCTTATAAAAATTCACAATAAATCCTTCCAATTACTTTTCCTTATCAATGAAAACAAAATTTACGGGAAAAGTGTCAAAAGTGAGAGTGATACATCAAAAAAAATAGAGGGGAGAGACATCAAACGCACCCCTCCCCCCTCCCAGCCTGTTAAGGGTTAATTACCTGTGTATGATAGTTAAGCCCTGCAATGAACCCATGAAGTATATTTCTCTCAAACTCTCGGACAAATTCGTTTTTACTGAACATCTGAACCCTATAATATTCGTTTTTACTTAACATCTGAACCCTATAATATTTGTTTTTACTGAACATCTGACCCCTATAATGTTCGTTTTTACTGAACATCTAAACCCTATAATATTCGTTTTTACTGAACATCTGAACCCTATAATATTTGTTTTTACTGAACATCTGAACCCTATAATATTTGTTTTTACTGAACATCTGAACCCTATAATAAATGATTACTCGCTTTAAACTTTGTATTTCTAAGTTTAATCCATATATCTTGATAGTGAAAATATTTAATATTTCAAACTTTGACTTTTTAATCTGGCAGAATATACAGTTGGAACTATCAAAGATATAGGATATCAAATTGTAATGATATATGATTTAAATATTATGAGAATGAGAATTTGTTTTTGAAATTGTTTTTTAAAATTGTTATTATGATAACAGATAACAAACGTTTTTCTTGCTTTAAATAGTTAACTTGGTTAATTTTAAAAATTTGGTGTTGTAAAATTTATCAAGTACCCCTTAAGTGACCATCATTGGAAAAAGTGATAGAGGGGAGAAAAGCCAGCCACAACAATTTATAGTCCGAGCCACATTCTCCTCATTTTCTCGTCCGAGCCACCGTGAAATCCTAGTCCTTCCAATATTGTTTTCCAAAAGTGTCTAGTACTCCAAGATAAACAACTTTTTAAGAATCTGGCCACGTTAGGGCATTAATGAAATATTGAATTTTAATAAATTGAAAAAAATAGTTTCAATTGAATTAAAGTTTTCGAGTTCTATGTCCTTAAAAATGTTCACCTTTTTTACGCGCATCTCCAGATATTCCTGGTGTAGGATGTCGCAAACAATTTCGAGATTATAGAACTTAAATCTTTTTTTCTTAATCATAGTGAAAACCATAGAACTTTTCCGGGTGGTTTCATGGGGAAATGATAGGCAGAGGTATGCCAAATATTTTGTTATTTATTTCATATCGCGAAGGTAGGCCATTACGGAGACAGAAGAGTTTTAAGTTTTACCTCAATAAAGTTTGACATCCTTATCATGTCTCTAAAGATTCAAACATAATTTAATCATTGCAATACTTTAGTCTATCCATATTTTATGCCGTAAAGTGGCCAGATTTGTGAAAAATACTTTTATCTTCAAGAATTAGAAACTTTTCAACGCATATAATCGAAGGACGAGGATTTCGAGGTGGTTTGGACGAGAAAATGAGGAGAATGTGGCTCGGACGAGAAGTTGTTGTTCAGTGATATGTCCGAATCCAAAAGGTAAAAATTAAACCTTCATCTGCAAGTAACAAAAGTGTTAAATTCCCACAATTTCTTTCCTTGGATCAGGAGTATAAATTCACAAGTCACAATTACAGAGATTCAACAGTTGAAAATAATGAATTTTGAGAGAGAAAAAAAAGATGTCTTATTGTTTACTAGACATGGGTATAAAGAGACTACGTTTAGTATGAAACATATAAACCACTCTTTCAATAGAAGGACATGAAAATATGTCTAATGTACTGTCTTTTTACATGATTAATGCTTACCTTGGGGCCAATGACGTCACAGCATTAGCAAAGTTATCATAATAAACACTGCAGACTAGATCTGCAATATATTCCTCTCTAACCTAGAATATAGTGTACACTGCAGACTAGATCTACAATATATTCTTCTCTAACCTAGAATATATTGAACACTGCAGACTAGATCTGCAATATATTCCTCTCTAACCTAGAATATAGTGAACACTACAGACTAGATCTGCAATATATTCCTCTCTAACCCAGAATATAGTGAACACTGCAGACTAGATCTACAATATATTCCTCTCTAACCTAGAATATAATAAACACTGCAGACTAGATCTACAATATATTCCTCTCTAACCAAGAATATAGTGAACACTGCAGACTAGATCTACAATATATTCCTCTCTAACCTAGAATATAGTGAACACTGCAGACTAGATCTAAAATATATTCCTTTCTAACCTAGAATATAATGAAGACTGCAGACTAGATCTGCAATATTTTCCTCTCTAACCTAGAATATAATAAACACTGCAGACTAGATCTGCATTATATTCTTCTCTAACCTAGAATATAGTGAACACTGCAGACTAGATCTGCAATATATTCCTCTCTAACCTAGAATATAGTGAACACTGCAGACTAGATCTGCAATATGTTCCTCTCTAACCTAGAATATAGTGAACACTGCAGACTAGATCTACAATATATTCCTCTCTAACCTAGAATATAGTGAACACTGCAGACTAGATCTGCAATATGTTCCTCTCTAACCTAGAATATAGTAAACATTGCAGATTAGATATGCAATATATTCCTCTCTAACCTAGATTATAATAAACACTGCAGACTAGATCTGCAATATTTTCCTCTCTAACCTAGAATATAATAAACACTGCAGACTAGATCTGCATTATATACTTCTCTAACCTAGAATATAGTGAACACTGCAGACTAGATCTGCAATATATTCCTCTCTAACCTAGAATATAGTGAACACTGCAGACTAGATCTGCAATATGTTCCTCTCTAACCTAGAATATAGTAAACATTGCAGATTAAATATGCAATATATTCCTCTCTAACCTAGAATATAATAAACACTGCAGACTAGATCTACAATATATTCCTTTCTAACCTAGAATATAGTGAACACTGCAGACTAGATCTGCAATATGTTCCTCTCTAACCTAAAAATACAGTTTATCCCACTGAACTTATTTTTCTTAAGTTTTAAATGATTTCCTAATTTACAATTTACATGACGCAGCCCTCAAATTTGGTTTCATACTTCTAAAAAAAAACTACTTCTGTTGAAGTGCAAGCAAGCTTGATTAAATGACCCACTCTCCACTAAAACCTACTATTTCTTCGGTCAAAGTACTGCCAATTACTGCAGTACAGTACCTAAAGATTATCTGAAGGTGGACCCAATATATGTGTGTTCTTGCAGTATCAGAAAAAAACATAACGTTTTTTTTTCACAAAATTTTTAAAATCACAATATTATTATCAAAGTCATTTAGATTAGAAAATATAAAAGTGAATACATTTCCTGACTGAAAAATCTCTTTAAACGGTACAATACACTTTAAAAGGATATTTTTATCCAATCAAGAAATTTAGTTCTGATCGAATTAACAACAATTCACCTTAAAAAAAAACTTTCAAACGTGGAAAATGATAAATTAATGCAAATTTTCGACAAATTATTGTTATTTACTTTTCATATTTTTATTTACTGATTTAATACGCTTGTATTGTGAACCTCAGGATCAAGCATTGATCTTCATCTTATGCAGATCTACAGATTAACTAAATGTAAACCTCAGGATCAAGCATTGATCTCCATCTTATGCAGATCTACCGATTAACTAAATGTGAACCTCAGGATCAAGTATTGATCTACATCTTATGCAGATCTACCGATTAACTAAATGTGAACCTCAGGATCAAGTATTGATCTCCATCTTATGCAGATCTACCGATTAACTAAATGTAAACCTCAGGATCAAGCATTGATCTCCATCTTATGCAGATCTACCGATTAACTAAATGTGAACCTCAGGATCAAGCATTGATCTCCATCTTATGCAGATCTACCGATTAACCAAATGACTCTGTGATATCTGGTGGTCATACCCTGCAGAGATGTCTTTTATCGACGGATCAAGCATATATCCTCAAATTTAAAAGTATTCACATTTGATATTAAGCTTAAGACTTCAAAATTAACATTATCCAGACACAAATAGATTGACCTCTTGTTATTTTTGGTGGAAAACCTTCCTAAAAGATACGTCATTGTACACCTTTTATATAAAATAGAATATTAAGTATTCAACAAAAATATTAATTAGTTTCTCTGTTAAAAAATCTAATTAACAGAAAGGAATTAAGTTTGGAAACAAACTCTGATTTGTTAATACATTTATCTTTGCAACCTCATCTTTTATTAATTAATAATTATGTTAAATCAAAGAATTCAAAGTTTGAAATATCAAAGGTTTGAACCATCAGGTTGCANAAAAGATGATTTATTCTTTTTTTTTTTTTTTTTTTTCAAGAAAAAAAATACCTCTGGGTCTAGAGCAGTAAACAGTAGTTGCAGGAGATCTATAACGCACGACACAAAACAGCTCTGAGACAAATCCTAAATTTCAAAATGGAAATTAGAAAATTATTCAAAAATTATTAGTATTATTTTCTTGAAAAATCGTTTCACCCTTTTTGAAAATAATTTTTACTCCGAAGAAGTTAGAAAAAAAAATTCTTAGGGTTCTTTCGCTGAAATAGGAATTGAATTGATTTTTAGAGGAAAATAAAGAACATTTTGGGATTAAAGTATAAAAAAAGCAAAAAACATTTGATGTCCAATTTTTCATTTTTACTCCTAAATCTTCAAAAATCTTCGAAGATTGTTTAGCATACTTAATGCAGTAAACTTAAAATACACTTTTTTGAAATGATTTTTATATGCAATTCTCGTGTGTATTTTCAAGATTGAAAGGCGGAAATTAAAGGAAAGGATTTTTACCTGAAAAATAACATCTGAGCAGAATAGTCTGGACTCTAACTCACTTCGATATTTGAAATTAATCTGAAAAGAAAAACTCCATCAAAAAACTTCAATTCGTCTTTTGACAGTACAAAAATTGTTTATCTAAAAGTCTGGTTCACTGAGTGTACCGGCGGTCATATTTTCGGGAAAAAAAAACTAAATATTTTTGAGTTTAAGTAGTGTTTTTTGTTGTAAAATTTTCAATCCTTTTCTAAAACTTCGACTTATTTGTTAAATCTTCAACATATTTGTTAAATTTGTAGCCAATGTCAAATGTTTACCCTATTAAGATGACACAGTCCACTGGCGTATACTTCAGGTTTACGGCTTTTTACAAAAACATTTGAATGAAATATGCACTGAAAGTGTCCTTTAGGCAAAGTTTAAAAGCAAATTAGAAATCCCCCAATAAGGAATACATCGGAAGAATTTATTTAATGTCGTCTTGACAATTTTTCAATGAGTTTTATACTATATTACGTAAACTTCAGTGTTTGCGAAAATAAATAAATAGCCATGAATATGCAGAACAGTTTTAAAGAGCTCCATATAATCATTTAATTAAAAAACTAAATATTAGAAAGTGAAGAATACGACATTTGATGAATTCTTACGATTTATTCGTTATTAAGGGTTTCACTGTATAAACCAATTTTATTGAAAGATTTACCTGTGCTCTTCTCAAAACTCCAAATCCCAGAACTCCAAATCGGTTGGAACTTAAACTTTGTTTTGTACCACAATCCTAAATGATAATTGGTCAATTATGAAACCAACCTATTTCATGATTTGGTTTTCTTTTAATATTAATTTTAAATTTTTCTATAAAATGATGTTCCAGGGCCCAAAAGGTTATCTAGCGCAAATATGTGAAGTACACCTGCAGTATGGAAACAGTACAACAAAATGGCCGTTTTACACTTTTTTCTAGTTAATTCCTCTCTAATATATATTCTATTCTCTTTGGGCCAAACCCTGTCTCAAATGATAAACATTACTGTCAATTGATATTTTCATTTTTACACTAAAGGTCAAAAAAATGTATTTTAAAAAGGCCGGTCAATGATACCTTGCTAGAGAAAAGGTAATATTTTGGATTGACACACAATTAGACATTATTTAGACTTACATCATACTTCACTTTTAAATTTATAAATTCTACCGTTAATATTCCAGCAAATGCAAATATATTTAATCCCTAAAAACTTGTTCACTTTGTTTTGCTCCATTGCAAGATTAATTGGAGAAACTAAAAGTTTTGATATTTTCCTCTGAACTTACAAATCTGGTTAAAAAGAGCAAAAAATTGGTTTTCAGAACTTAAAAATGAAGAAATAACTTAAAATGTTTTAACTTGAATGATTTGTGATGTTTCTCCAAAACATAATATTGCAGCCATACGACAAAATATTCTAAACACATCCAGGAATACATTTTTGTAAAGTTATAAAGATATTTTCTTACTCTGTACTTCTATATATACTTTGCTTGTCTGGTGGATGTTTGTACGTCTGTCTGGGTGTTTGTATCCAATAAACGTCAAAACGGCTGAACCGATTGGGCCAACATTTTTTCTGGGACCTACAGTGATCCCAATCTTATCGAATTTAAAAAAAATGTTGTCTCTAACGAAATTCGATGTTTGAAAATTTTAAAATCCACGAAATTTTTTGTTTGTTGTTTCTGTTTTGAACTTTATATATAACTAGGCTTTTAGTGTGCTTCTCGCCCATCTTCTATTTCAACTTTTTACTGTGGCTTTTTCTGTGAGCATCTTCTCTTTATACAAAAAAAAAAGAAAATGGGGATTTCAAAATATTTTTGATCATTCATAAACTTTCCATTGGGTCACGTAAGGTCCCACACAAAATTTGGGTCCGATTAGTTCAGCAGTTTTGACTTTTATTGCATACAAACAAACAAATAAAACATCCAAACACCCAGATAGAAAGACAGCCTATTTGTTTGAATTGCGAATGTATCAAAAGATTTGTTTGTAGCTATAGTATTTGTTTAGGAGCATCAACTATAATCTTTAAATATTTGGTTTGGCTGTGTGTTAATTTTTTGCTTTTTTATCCAACATACAGGGTTAACCCACAAAGAATAAGACTCTAAAGACGACCTAAAACTCTAAAAATATGACAAATTGAAACTTAATTTTTGGAATATGCATTCAATTTAGTATTTTAATGGTTACTTAATGATTAAGCACATAAATAAACCAGGTTTGGCCTACTACAAGGAACCCTGAATGGAAGAAAATGAACTAAACAAATTTTGTACAATCGTCTCAGAAGTCTCATCCTTCAGAGAAAATTGTACGGCATTTTTTAGTCCGTTTTCTTGCAGTCAGGGATACAGAAACTAAATGAGTGTCCCCCAATCCTGGAACTGATGCAGGGGTCCAGTGATGCAACCAGGGATAGGTACTGCAGAACACAGATTAAAAAATCATCAAGATCACACAGTGTTTTATTCTTGTGTTTTTTGTTCTCGGTTTGGGATTACAAGAAAAACGACATTCAAGTTCAAGTTTTGTTAGTCACGGTGTTCAATGTTATCTTTTTTATAATCCCAAACCTACGCACGGACAGGAAAAAACTAAAGTAAGAGTATATGATTTTGCACGTTTGTCNCAGCAGTTTCTGTAGTTTTAATGTCTCTGGAAAAAAGAGTTATTTAAAATACTCTTTACAGAAATTTTGAATAGAGAAAAAAATAAAAAGGATTCTTTTCATGGTTCATCCTATTCTTCTATTATTTTTCATGGACAATCCTTCGTTGTTTACGTTAAAGAAGAAAGACATGACATTTTTGTTGTATCTGTGGCACAGTGGCACATTGCACAAGCAGAAAATTGTCACAAAGAGTTGATTTTTTGCCACAAAGTTAAATTTTCTAATCATCATATCTTTGCAACCCGATGTTGTAGACCATTGAGATTTCTGTAAGATCGAATGGTATAAGTTTGAAATATCAAAGCCTTACACCATAACATTGCGAAGATATAGATATCAGAAATTTGAGTTGGGGGCAAATACTCAATTTCAACAAAAATTGAAGCAATGAAATAACATGGAATAAATGCAAGGGAAGCAAGGAGAAACCAAAACAAATTCATGTAAAGTAGTTTTTTTTTCCTTATTTAAATCTATTCTAAGTTTAAAAGGGATTCCAATGCAGATATTTTTGTGCGGGAAAACTATTTAGATTTGCATATCTACCATTCTTACTTTTCTTCTTTACTTTTTATTATTCAAAGGGACTGTCAACATCAAGAAGGTTGTAAAATAAGGTTGGTTACTAGCTCTCAACATCAAGGAGGTTGTAAAATAAGGTTGGTTACTAGCTCTCAACATAAAGGAGGTTGTGAAATAAGGTTGGTTACTAGCTCTCAACATCAAGGAGGTTGTAAAATAAGGTTGGTTACTAGCTCTTAACATAAAGGTGGTTGTTTTACTAGCTCTCAACTTCAAGGAGGTTGTAAAATAAGGTTGGTTACTAGCTCTCAACATCAAGGAGGTTGTAAAATAAGGTTGGTTACTAGCTCTCGACATCAAAAAGGTTATAAAATAAGGTTGGTTACTAGCTCTCAACATCAAGGAGGTTGTAGAATAAGGTTGGTTACTAGCTCTCGACATCAAGAAGGTTGTAAAATAAGGTTGGTTACTAGCTCTCAACATCAAGGAGGTTGTAAAATAAGGTTGGTTACTAGCTCTCAACTTCAAGGAGGTTGTAAAATAAGGTTAGTTTCTAGCTCTCAACATCAAGGAGGTTGTAAAATAAGGTTGGTTACTTGCTCTCAACATCAAGGAGGTTGTAAAATAAGGTTGGTTACTAGCTCTCAACTTCAAGGAGGTTGTAAAATAAGGTTGGTTACTATCTCTCAACATCAAGGAGGTTGTAAAATAAGGTTGGTTACTAGCTCTAAACATCAAGGAGGTTGTAAAATAAGGTTGGTTACTAGCTCTCAACTTCAAGGAGGTTGTGAAATAAGGTTGGTTACTAGCTCTCAACATCAAGGAGGTTGTAAAATAAGGTTGGTTACTAGCGCTCGATGCGCTCCAATGTAATGATAATTTCGTCTCCTAAGATATATCAATAAAAAAAATAATATAACGTCACTGATTATAAAGGCTAGAGTTAGGTAATAATATAGGTTTCATTAATCTATCTTAGGCGACGACATTTTCCTTACATTGGAGGTTCAAGGTTCAAACTCTATAGTCATGAATATACTGAAATATTTTCTGATAAATCTTTCTAAATACTAATTTTAGTTAGGATTAATTCTAAATCTGTCTCAAACAACCAAATTAATTGATATTAACTAATTCTCTTTGATAGCTTGATTGTGTTTAAAGATTTTGTTTTAGCATACAATTTAATAAAAAAATATGATTAGGCCGGACAGGGTTTTATATGCTTTTAACGGTTTTGATAAATGCCATGATTCTGTAGATGGACTTTGATACAGCTATAATCCTTTATGTATACAATGTTGCATAGCTAAGTACTGGTAAAATTTGAGTAAAATTAGGAAAGATAAAATTCAACGTTTCTAAAATTCGCATGTTTAAATTCTCTTTTTAATTTCTTTAGATGTAATATCTTATTTCATTAGATGATTTGAAAAAATAATAGTTTTGAATAAGTCTCAACAGTTTCAAAATAAAATATAAAAATAAAATGATTTCTCGTCAAAATTTTGCTGTCAAATCCAATAAAGGAAGGATAAAATGTAATAATGGTTCAACATTTAATCTGAGTTTCCTGACAATATCAACTTCCCTCTCCAGCCTAGAAATACAAGGAGATCTTACTATATAAAAAAAACTAAAATTTCCCAATTCTGGGACTTCCGAAATGTGGTCTAAAAGTTTTTATTTTTGAGATCTATGATTTAAAAGAGCTGAACACTTTGCACAAACAAAAAGTTGAAAAGTTTACTGACAAAAATGTACAGTCATTTTAGCTTAAGCTTAAGCTTAAAGGGACAGTAAAGGAAAAATGAAAGGGGGTATAGGCTGAAAGCTAATCACTTTAGCTCTTGATCGCGACCCATGAAAGTTTTATCTGATGTTCCTGTCTCGAGAAACTGATATAAAACTGTGTTAAAATTATACGAAAATTCATATATGTAAAATTTTGAAAATCTGAAACTTAAATCACGTGTCCAGAACTATCACCAATGGCAGAGCAGTTTCCATCAAAATTCGATCGTCATTAAATTTTTGAAAATTTTGAAAATCCACGAAATTTTTTGTGAAAATCCGCGAATTATTTTTGTTTTGTTTTACGATGTACACAAAGAGAACATGTTCACAATTAATTTAGAAGATGGGCGCGAAGCGGCCTATAAGGCTAGTGTAATATAAACTATCTCCTCCCAACACACGTAATCTAAACCATCTCGTCCCAACCTGTACAATATACATGTAATCTAAACCATCTCCTCCCTACCTGTACAATATACATGTAATCTAAACCATCTCCTCCCAACCAGTACAATATACATGTAATCTAAACCATCTCCTCCCTGTTGTAAATGCTCTACTCCAACAAATACTTTTAGATCAGAATCAATCCAGGTAAAACTCAATCTCGAACTCTAGGTTCTCTAATAATACCTTGGTCAGTATCAATCCAAATACGACTCAGTCTGTATTCTCAGGTATCTGTCTTACAAGATACAACTCATCTAGAACTCAAGGTTCTTCAGTAATACCATAGTTAATATCAATCCGGATACAACTCAGTCTGTATTCTCAGGTATCTGTCTTACAAGATACAACTCATCTAGAACTCAAGGTTCCTCAGTAATACCATAGTTAATATCAATCCGGATATGACTGAGTCTGTATTCTCAGGTATCTGTCTTTCAAGATACAACTTGTGCTGACTATCAGATATAATCAGTCTATATCTATCCAGATACTACGCTGTTGTATTCTTTATGTATCTATCTTTCAAGATGCAACTTGTGCTGACTATCAGCTAAACTCAGTCTATATCAATCCAGATACTACGCTGTTGTATTCTTTATGTATCTATCTTTCAAGATACAACTTGTGCTGACTATCAGCTAAACTCAATCTATATCAATCCAGATACTACGCTGTTGTGTTCTTTATGTATCTATCTTTCAAGATACAACTTGTGCTGACTATCAGATATAATCAGTCTATATCAATGCAGATACTACGCTGTTGTATTCTTTATGTATCTATCTTTCAAGATACAACTTGTGCTGACTATCAGCTAAACTCAGTCTATATCAATCCAGATACTACGCTGTTGTGTTCTTTATGTATCTATCTTTCAAGATACAACTTGTGCTGACTATCAGATATACTCAATTTATATCAATCCAGATATGATACTGTTTTATTCTCAGGTATCTGTCTTACAATTCACTGTAATTCCCAATTTATATATCTTTCAATATTGATAATACTATATAATCAAGCAGAGTTTTCTTCGAACTAACGTATATTTTGAGTTCTATTTTACAGGTTATATTTATTAATGTAATTGAAAGTTTTGCGTATTTATTTTAAAGCGTAGTTAGATTTGATCACAAATAAATGTTTGAAGTATTTATTTACAAGCGTAGTATAGGGTACAATGTACAATGTAATATATCTAGGTGTATCTAGGTTTATAAATATAGGGTTTGCTACAATATTTATTACACTCCCAGCATATATAACTGTAGAATGTACGTTAACTAAACCCCTTGAAACTATAAAACACTTGTTTTTATCTTATAGTCTTTAACCCTATCCCCGCTGGGGTACTTGAAAACCAGGATACGCTGGGGGGGGGGTCAATTTGACCCCCCCCCCTCTAAATCCCATATTTTATGTCCAAATATGACAAATGATACATCATTAGAAAGCTCTTGTGCTCTACTTTTAGAATCTGCAAAAAAAATTTGCAAATTGCGAAAATTATATTTTTTATCGCAAAATCCAGTTTTATAGTAAAAATGTTTGCAAAAAAAAATTTGTCTAAAAAATGACAAATTATACATTTTTGAAAAGCCCTTGACCATGCCATTTCAAATATGCAAAAATTTTTGCAAAAACTAAAAATGTGCAAATTTCCTTTGACAGGTTGTTTGCAAAAAATTTGCAATTTTTTTTTCGCAAAACTTGTGCAATCCGTTTCCTTATGTCATAGGCTTTCCAAAAAGCTAAATTTTATCAGAATCTGACAAGTGAAAGTGGGTCAAAACAAAGATTCAGTTTGTTACAGGCAAAAGCAGTCATTCAGGCAGTGTGCCTGAGGACTCAGGCAGTTAGTATTAAAGCCCGGTTTTAGGCCTAAAGGGAGGGCTTTGGGTATGTAAGAAAAGTCAGAAAATTTTAACAGCCTCAGACCAATACTTTTTGAGTTATGTAAAAAAAACTACAGGGGGGAGCTTATTTCCCCCCCCCCCCCCAGCGGGAATAGGGTTAAGAGGTAATTAGCAAAATCCTCACAGATTTTGCGGTGAGAGCTTCCAGCTTTTAAATCAGGGTGTGTAGTACTATTACACTACTCAGATCTAGCCTGCTTAAAAAAGGCTCATCAACTTCATTTCATTTTTTACTTGTTTCATATATGCACTCTGGATGCACTTAAAACGACGATTTTTTGTAGCTAGGTGTTGTTGGAGTCTTTTCCACGTTGAAATCTAGAAGCATCGAGAGCAGAGACACCAAGCAGCGAAATAAACGTCCTTTGAAGTATATTATATTTGTATATGAAACGAGTAAGAGATATTACAAAATATCAACTTTATACGAATGCGTTAAAAATTATCGATGATTGTAGGTTGCAATATCTGAATGATTTGTTTGGAATTATATTGATTTTTTACGATCCGAGTCGATATTGCAATTTTCTGAACTTGTGTTGACGCTAAGTTTATAGGTTTGAGTCGTTTTTAACAATTTATTCCTGATAGACGCAACAGACAGATGTAAGATTAGTAGCAATCACCATTAATTATTTTTCGACGAAAGTCTATACCCACTTTCATTTTTCGCGAACACTCCCTTTAACATTGTAGTGAAGAGAAATAGATCCACACTTTAAATGTTTTCCAGTCTAATAAGTCAAACTCACAAGAGCCATTATAGTAATTATAATTCTTTTATTTTCCATGCAAAGCAATTAAAAAATAATTATTTAACACACAATTGTATTATTAATTATTTACAGGGAAATTAGGGAAATTTATTTCACCATGGGTTACCAAGACCAATTTTTGCTTACAAAACATCAAAAGTTTTCCAGCAAAATTTGGAAATCTTTCGCAAAATTTTGCGAAAATATGTTTCGCAAATTTTTGTTTTCACAAAATTTCGCTTAGTTTTTGCTTCCTTTCGTAAATTTCACATTCACGAAAATATGCGAAAAAAATTGTGAAATTTTTTCGAGAAAGTTTTCTTTCGCTTGAAAGCCTATAGATGGCACTCATGGTTAAAAAACATTTTTATTTTACCGTAAATGTAGTATGTATACTACTTTTTAAGCTTGTAACATAGAAATGCGCAATGTGATTTTATTTAACAGTTAAATAAATTAACATTCCGCTATTGTGTGTATAATGGGTCGGTAATGTGAAAAGGCGGTAAACTAACCTATATCCTTTCATTGGAAGATTTTCTAGAACCATTATCTTGTTTTCAAAACCAGAATTCACATCATCATAACATACATCTGTAAAGTAAATGCAAATTTTTCTTTAAATAAAAATCTGAACTTGACCTTGAACTTGACCTTGAATTTGACCTTGTTCTTGTCCTTGACCATGTCTTTGACCTAATCCTTGACCTTTTCCCTGGCCTCATCCTTGACCTTGTCCTTGGCCTTGTCTTTGATCTTGTCCTTGACCTTGTCTTAGACCTTTTCCTTGGCCTTGACCTTGTTCTTGGCATTGCTCTTAACCAATTATTTTTGACCTTTTTTTGACCTTGTCTTTCGCCTTGTCTTTCACCTTTTATTTGACCTTGCCCTTGACTTTTTTCTTGACCTTTACCTTGACTATGACTTTGACCTTGACTTTGACCTTGACCTTGACCTTAACCTTTACTTTGACCAAGTTTTTGACCTTAACCTTGACCTTGTCCATGATCTTGAACTTAACCTTTACCTTCGCAAAGCTGTTTACCTTGACCTTGACCTTGATCTTGTCCTTGATCTTAACCTTAACCTTGACCTTGACCTTGATCTTGAACTTGACCTTGAACTTTACTTTTACCTTGACCTTAACCTTAACCTTGGCCAAGTTTTTACCTTGACCTTGACCAAGCTCTTCACCTTGTCTTTCTATTCTTCCTTCATCTTGACTTTGACCTTGACCTTGACAAAGTTCTCGACCTTGTCCTTGAGTTGACCTCTATTGACCTAGTCCTTGTCCTTGAATTTAACCTTGACCTTGACAAAATTCTTGAATTTGTCCTTGTGTTGACCTCAATTAACCTTTCCTTGTCCTTGCCTTTAACCTTGACCTAAACGAAGTTTTTGACCATGTCTTTGAGTTGATCTCTACTGACCTTGTTCCTCTGAATCTTCCAGAAATCTCGGTATGGATGGATCTGAGATTAAGAAGTGTTCTGGAGTACAAAGAAAGGAACTGAAGGGTCGAAATGTTTGTTTATATTCTAATCATGTCTTGGCTTCAATAAGTTTACAGTTTAATTGGCCAACTTGTATCATTCCTTTCAAAACACGAAAAGTTTGAAAACTAAACAGTTTCAGATTTTATAATGTTTAAACTTTACAGCTAGTTAAAAAATTATTTTAATGTGTTATAACTCTTTGAATGAAAACAACATTCCTTCTTCGTTGCTTTTTGCTGAGAACATACTCCCTGAAACATTAAATTTTATTTTATTTTATTTTAGTCAAAAACTTATATATCCGCACTNCTATTTTTCTTATAATAAATTTTCCCTTGTGGACAAGATCTAGAAATACAAGAGGAGGTTTTCAGAAAAAAGATGTTCCTCTCAAATTTAAAAACACAAAGGTTTTCTTCCAAAAAGCTTTGAAAATTCTTTAAAAATGTCACCAATTTAATTTAATGTTATTTCAATCGCAGAACTGAATTTCAATTCCTGATTTCCAATAAAATTTTGTTCAGGGGAATTTAGATACATTACATTTTTTGCTAAAATTTACAAATTAAGCTTCTAACAATTTCAGAAAGAACCAAAACGCAGTAAAATATCTCACAAGTTTTTACCAAAATTTAAAATTAAAAAGTTGACCTGAGTTTTGTTATGATGATATTGTACACTTTGGCCTCCATTTCTTCCTCTCTATGAACCCTCACTAGCAGTTTATAATTTTAAAAAAGAAAAAATGCAAACAGGGCCCAATTAGAGAAATATTATTAAGACATTTTATTAGAAATTCCAGTTTTTAATAAATAACCATTAAAAAAATTTTAAATTAACTAAATGAATTAATAACGAAAATTTTTAAAAACGAAAAGACGCTTTTCAAATTCAATTACAATTTTCGGTAAATTTTATTGTTTCAAGTATGATAGACTCGAGCATGTAATTTTTTTAATATCGACCTCTCTATTTCATGAAAATTAAACCCAAACCCGTTAATACTGAAGGCGAGTTCAGTATAGGAAAAGGCAGTTAATGAATATTTGGAATTTTAACGCCGTTGAAAACTGGCAACTTCTATTATGATGCAACATCACAAATTAAGTTAAACAAACTGAAAGTTCAGTTCTACTACTTGATAAACCTGTCCATTAAATTATTTTTCCTAACCAATATAGAACATAGTGAAAATAGTCCGTTCCAGTTACCATGAACTCAGCGTTACGTTAGAGTTCATGTTGTCATAAATTGTACACACACTGTTTAATCGAGAAGAATGTCTTTGACAACTATTTTCTTATCGTAAAACTTTCCTTGAATATCAAGTTTCTTCTTATGTCCATCTTCCCTTTTTATCCAAATCTAAAAAAGATAAAAATCCATAAATATCTTTTCTATATTTTGAATTTAGACTGGAGTAGAGAAAATAAAAAATGTGGAGTAGAGAAAATTAAAAATGTGGAGTAGAGAAAATTATAAATGTGGAGTTGAGAAAACTATGAATGTGGAGTAGAGAAATTTAAAAATGTGGAGTAGAGAAAATTAAAAATGTGGAGTAGAGAAAATTAAAAATGTTAAGTTTAGAAAATTAAAAATCTGGGGTAGAGAAAATGAAAAATGAGGAATAGAGAAAATTAAGAATGTGTAGTAGAGAAAAATAAGAATGTGGAGTAGAGAAAACTATAAATTTGGAGTAGAGAACATTAAAAATGTGGAGTAGAGAACATTATAAATGTGGAGTAGAGAAATTTATAAATGTAGAGTAGAAAAAATTATAAATGCAGAGTAGAGAAAATTGAAAATGTGGAGTAGAGAAAATTATAAATGTGGAGTATAGAAAATTATAAATGTGGAGTAGAGCAATTAGAATTGTGGAGTAGAGAAAATTAAAATGTTAAGTAGAGAAAATGAAGAAATGTTAATTATATCAAAATTTAAATTTATAAAATTCATTTTTATTAAATTTTGATCAGAATTGCAGTTTTAGTAATACCATTTAGCCATATTTTTGCTTAGTTTTTGTTAGAAGTTGTAAGGAATCATTTTTACAACAAAGTTTATTTACGAAATAGTTTTAGTTTTTGTATTAATAGATTTTGAGTAGAGATACATAAAAAGGAACTCTCCGCTAATTATAATTTTCTAAGCCCTTTATCTTTGCAATCTGATGGGTAAACCTTTTAATTTTAATCTAAATTTAAAATATCAAAATCATTAAATGAATCGATTATTTAAAATATCAAAGAATTTAAAAAAAAGGTTTTAAAAATATAAAATAGAAAATTAGCCTTGAAGGTGAGCAATCAGTTCCTTTATACTTTTTAGAATACTAAGCCATTTATATTATGTTTATTTAGTTCATAGAAATAATTTAAATACAGATATTAAATGTAAATCAAAAGATAAAGAAAAAAACAAATTTTTGTTTTTTTTGGAAAGTAACATTTCTATTGACACTCATATTATTAACATATAAACTTTCTAAATCTTTAAAATTTGTTTCCATATTTAAAAAAAATATATAGTAAATTCTCCTAAAGTTTATGAATTTTATCATATTTCATTCAGAGAAAAATTTCATAATTTCAGGAGTTTGTGTTTCAGGAGTTTGTACTTTCAGGAGTTTGTCTCGTCAGTAGTTTGTCTTTCCGGAGTTTGTCTTTCCGGAGTATGTCTTTCCGGAGTTTGTCTTTCCGGAGTTTGTCCTGGCACCCTTATAAAAAGAACTTACAATTAACACTATCTCGAGGGCTAATGCAGATGAAGTACCAGTATGGGTTAATGCAAGGTATAGTGCCAACACTTTTATGCATGCAATATTAGGCAGCCAGCTAGATCCTGCCATACATATTTAATACTTTTCTCTATAGATATATTGTACAGTGTTGCATAGACTTGATAGTAGAGAGGCTTTGTACAAGTTTAAAACATCGTTACAAGGCAAATAGAAAATGCAAACAATTAATGAAAAAGCACAATTTTTTCCAAATTTACAATTTTTTCCAAATCATAAAAATCTTACAAATTCCAAAATTAGCTGAACAAATTCAAAAGTTTAACTTTCACAAATTAAAATTAATAGCTAGTTGGGAGCCCCAAACCCCCCCCCCCCCCCCTCGGCCCCCCACACTTTTTTTCCCAATGCTAAAGCTCTTTTTTCTTTGTGTAAATATATCAGGTTTCAGAATGCCAACAAATACCTCATTTTCATCTTTATAAGCTCAGAAAATATGAAGGGGGGAGGGGGGGTCAAGGCCCAAAATATCTAGATGTAGGAAACGGTCAAATTTTGTCGAATTGATATAATGAATAATACATGGGCTTCTAAACTCCAAGGAATAAATGGAAGAAGAAGAAGAATTTCAGATTTATATAATCTTTCAGAGAATCTATTACAGCAGTGACTTGCACAGAGTGCATTTTTACCCCCTCTTAAACTGTAGGGGGTGTGGAGGGGGGGGGGTATTTTCAGAACTTGCTAACAGAACTACCAAAAATATAATTAAGTAAAACTAAAGATGTTATCATGGGTCAAAAATAGTTTTTAACATTTCAAGTTTCTATATGATTATATATTAATAAATAATTAATGCTCAATTTTTATTGATTTTCACCATAAGAAAAATAAGGTTGCTTTCCAATTAAACATTTTCTTTAAACATTTTTTCAGACATTTTTTATTTTTGACATTTCAACAGAAGTTTTAGAAACCTAGATAACTTTCTGAACATGTAAGCATTGAAGACTACAGGTTGTTTCGAACATTGATAAACACAGTTTTCTTGATAACACAAGCAAATTTGAAATCTAAAACTTTGGAAGATTGTGGTCTAAGTAAACACATTACAATACTACAGAGTTTTTCTTCAGAAAAACTTGACCTATTTATATTATCTAAACGTTAATCTACAAGTGAGAATTATGTGTAATAAGAGAGTTTGAAATGCAAGGGTTCTTTCAATGAAATAATATTAAAAAATTCTGAAATAATAAAAACATCACTACAGTGAGGATTTACATCTGTATCTACAATATAATCCAAACAATTTCCTTAAAGTAGCTTGATGAAATAATCCTTCGGGGAATTAAAGAAAAATATAAAAGTAACAAATTAGAAAAATTTAATTAAAACACAAAAGAAAATACAAAACAGAATAATTTAATATTTTTAATAAATTCTTTTTCAAATTTCTTTATTTTTATTTTTTATCTCACCTCCACGTCATGTTGTTCTCCGTTTTCTAAATCCTCCTTCTTAGAGCTCACAAACTTAATAACCCTGTAATTAAAAAACAAACTTAATATCCCTGTAATTAAAAACAAACTTAATAACCCTGTAATTAAAAACAAACTTAATAACCCTGTAATTCAAAATCAAACTTAATAACCCTGTAATTAAAAAACAAACTTAATAACCCTGTAATTAAAAAACAAACTTAATAACCCTGTAATTAAAAACAAACTTAATAACCCTGTAATTAAAAACAAACTTAATAACCCTGTGATTAAAAAAAAAAACTTAATAACCCTGTGATTAAAAAATAAACTTAATAACCCTGTAAATAAAAAACAAACTTAGTAACCCTGTAAATAAAAAACAAACTTAATAACCCTGTAATTAAAAAAACAAACTCAATAACCTTGTAATTAAAAAACAAACTTAATAACCCTGTAATTAAAAAAAAACTTAATAACCCTGTAATTAAAAAACAAACTTAATAACCCTGTAATTAAAAAAACAAACTCAATAACCCTGGAATTAAAAAACAAACTTAGTAACCCTGTAATTAAAAACAAACTTAATAATTCTGTAATTAAAAAACAAACTTAATATCCCTGTAATTAAAAACAAACCTAATAACCCTGTAATTAAAAACAACCTTAATAACCCTGTAATTAAAAAGAAACTTAATTGCCCTGTAATTCAAAATTAAACTTAATAACCCTGTAATTAAAAAACAAACTTAATAACCCTGTAATTAAAAACAAACTTAATAACCCTGTATTTAAAAACAAACTTAATAACCCCTGTAATTAAAAAAAACAAACTTAATGACCCTGTAATTAAATAAACAATTTTAATAACCCTGTACTTAAAAAACAAACTGAATAACCCTGTAACTAAAAAGCAAACATAATAACCCTGTAATTAAAAAACAAACTTAATAACTCTGTAATTAAAAAACAAACTTAATAACTCTGTAATTAAAAAAAAGCAAACTTAATAACCCTGTAATTAAAAAAAAAAACAATTTTAATAACTCTGTACTTAAAAAACAAACTGAATAACTCTGTAACTAAAAAGCAAACTTAATAACCCTGTAATTAAAAAGCAACCTTAATAACCCTATAATTAAAAAACAAACTTAATAATTCTGTAATTAAAAAACAAACTTATAATAACCCTGTTAATTAAAAAACAAACTTAATAACCCTGTAATCAAAAAACAAACTTAATAACCCTGTTATTAAAAAACAAAATTATTAACCCTGTAAAAATTAAAATTCAAAGGTTCTACAAAGTTTTTCGTTACCTCTGTGTAATCCCCCCTTAAAGTAAAGATTATCAAAATAAAATTTACTATATAATACAGCTCTTCGTCATATATTTATATATTCGTATATTTGTATATATGTTAGCTATTGCTGGCCAAACAACTGGACCGAATTGCCTCACATTATTTTAGGAAACCCATGCTTACCCTGCAGAACAAATTCGATTTTTTCCTATAGTCGAATAGTATTTTTTCTCATTGAGTTTCACATATTTAACAAATTAGTTATTACCCTTTTCCAACGACATAATTGTCACTCGATATAGTTAAGGAAAAATATATTCTTTTTAAAGTTTATTTAACCTGAGATCTTTCTCCTTGAAATGGTTTGATAGCATTCTTCTACTGAGAACCTGAAATTTAATATTTATTAAAAGTATAAATGAATGATAGGTACGGGGACTAAGTTCAAAGCTTACTTTTTTCTAAAATTTGTTTGAACTTTTCATTAACAATGGGGAAAATTTTTTCTTTTAAAAATCCTTCACCTCAGGAAAGAAAAACGAGAAAACAAGACAACATACAGTTGGTAACAAACTGTGGAATTTAAAGACGACATTTAATCTATCAGTTGTGTATTTGATGTTTTTTAAAAGTAGGTTAAAAATCAACTTAATAAGTTAACTCTCTGTGTATACACCGAACAAAAACTGTGTGTTTCATGCTTATTTAACTAAATTTTAAATCATAACTCGTGAAATGCGTTTTTTTGTTGTTGTTGTTAAGATTACTATAAAAAATTAATACTAAAATCAGAGTTTCGTAAAATTATTTCACCTTTTCCTGACGAATATTATTATTTATTGTCAGTGAAAAAATTTTATTCAAATTATTACACATTTTAAAACAGAAAAATTTCCGCCATTTTTTAGTTTATTGATTTATGAAGAAAAACTGGTTGCATGAATAGGAAAGCTAAATCTATTAATAAATCGAGAAGCGTCTGAAAACCACTATTTTTTATATTTTCTTAATTAGTTTCTGTAATTAGTGGGTATAATTTATCTTTAAACACAATTTTCGTAAAAAAAAATTAATGATCATCTATATAATAAAGCTCTTTGCTCATATATGCATATTTGTTTAAATGTATAGAAGATAGAATTTAGAAGAGATAAGAGTTATGTAATTTTTGAGTTCTAGGCAATAGCTATGTAATTTTCGAATTCTAGGCAAGAGCAATTTCAAATTATAATTCTAGGTAATAGCAATGTAATTTTTGAATTCTAGGGAAGAGCAATTTGATTTTCGAATTGTAGGCAACAGCAATGTAATTTTTTAATTCTAGGCAATAGCAATGTAATTTTCGAATTCTAGGCAACAGCAATGTAATTTTTTAATTCTAGGTAATAGCAATGTAATTTTTGAATTCTGGCCAACAGCAATGTAATTTTCGAATTCTAGGCAACAGCAATGTGATTTTTGAATTCTAGGGAACAGCAATGCAATTTTCGAATTCTAACTACCAGCAATGTAATTTTTTAATTCTAGGCAACAGCAATGTGATTTTTGAATTCTAGGGAACAGCAATGCAATTTTCGAATTCTAGCTACCAGCAATTAAATTTTTGAATTCTAGGCAACAGCAATGTAATTTTCCAATTCTAGGCAACAGTAATATAATTTTCAAATTCTAGGCAACAGTAATGTAATTTTTGAATCCACTATTGAATTATAGGCGACAGCAATGTTATTTTTCAATTCTAGGCAACAGCAATGTAATTTTTGAATTCTAGGCAACAGCAATGTAATTTTTGAATTATAGGCAACAGCTATTGATTTTCAAATTTTAGGCCACTTGACCACTTGACAACTTAAAATGCACTAGTCTTTAAATTTTGACTGAACAAATTCTGATAAACAATTTTAAAGAATGATTCTTCAAAATTAAGTTTAGTTCCGGTTTCACATTTAGTTAAATTAAAATTTAAAATTTCTTAGAGTGGAGTTTAATCCTGTGAAGCTTGTTTGTCAATTGTTCAATTTTTCAGGGAAAAAACATAATTGAAAGATAATAAAAGGTCCCAATCGGTATTTTAAATAAGCTACCTTTACAAAAAGTTGTCAATAATTAAAGATCATAAAAATGAAGATGTTTCCCAGGCCAAAAAACCTATATATATACTATGCTTGTTTGGCTGTTTGTTGACGTGTTTGTATTGTATCCAATAAACATCAAAACGGCTTAACCGATATCGGGCTCAAATTTTGTCCGGGACCTCATATGACCTCAGGGAAGGTTTATAAATGATCTAAATTTCATAACTTTGCCTCCATCAAAATTAATTTTAATTAAATTTTGGAAATCCAACAAAAAAATTATAAAATTCCCGATTTTTTCTTCTGTTTCTATTATGTATAGAAAAAGAAAATGTTCACGATTGAAATAGAAGATGAGCGTGAAGCGCCCTGTAAGCCAAGTACTTTAGAAATGTTTAGTAAAATATCTAAAGGCTGCATCATTTATCCACTGATTGATGATCTATCTATAGGAAGAATTAAAGTTGGAGTAGTCGGCCAAAATTTATGATAAAGGAAATCCTTCCTTTCCTATCAAAACTCCCTTTATTTATTTAAACTTGGACAGTAAAGTGGTTTAAACTTAGAACCACTTTATTGCCCCGGCTGACCACTTTACTTTTCCAGCTGACTAGTTTATTGTCCCTAATGACCACTTTTTTGTCCCGGCTAACTACTAATTATTGTCCCGGCGCGGCTGACCACTTTTTGTTCTTCTGTTCAGGTTTTATTTTAAACGTAATTATATTGTGATTTGATTAATACTGTTTTTTGTTCTTCAATCAGATGCATAAAAAACTGATTTGCCAGAAAAATCATTGATTTTATGTTTTCTTTCCGATATTGAAGTTATTTCCTAAACCCACAAACCATCCCTGAAACCACAAACCATCCCTGAAACCACAAACCATCCCTGAAACCACAAACCATCCCTGAAACCACAAACCATCCCTGAAACCACAAACCATCCCTGAAACCACAAACCATCCCTGAAACCACAAACCATCCCTAAACCCACAAACCATCCCTGAAACGCAGACCATCTATTTAAAACAGGAAATTCCCATTTAGATCTTAATCCTAATCCAAATGACACACTTAAACTAAATTTAACTTAAACATCCAGTGAAGCTTGGAATCAAACGGAGAAAATAAAATAAAAACTTGAAGAGCAATGAAAACGATATTTAAATGGGACGATTGCATTACTGAAAAAAATGTACGTCAGATTATTTTAAGAGAAACTAAATAAGTTTTTTAACAATATTTTCTTAAGTCACATTAAGTCGCAGATTTTTCATATTTTAAAGTAATATTTCTACAAGGTCTAATAGTCAAAGTTTAAAGTGTGCACCATCAGGTTGAAGTGACTTTTATAAGTTTAATTCCACAATTTTTTTTCTCCATGTTGGAAATTAAAAAAATCTAATTGTCACGGGGTTATAAGGCTTTGAAAATAAGATTTTGAGGCGAATAATACGTGTCTTTATTTTAAGATTACGGATGATATACTTTTTTCCTTAATATTTTACAATTCTAATGTTTAAACTTTCATCAAATAATTTTTGCCATTTTAGCTCTCAAATGACGTGTTTCACTTGAAAGTTAATGCTTAAAATCACTTTTAAAGCATTCATGCTTCATGAGTATCCTTTTATAGTTGTTGACGTAATATTTGTTCAAATATTAAACAATGAATTAAAATTTGTAATAAATATAGCAATTTTAGGAAAATAATTTTAATATTAAAAACAGTGTGACAATTGTGATTATAAAATAAACAAATAGTCTAATCAAATTCAAATTCTAGAATTATTAATATACTTTGTTCTTCGTATTAAAATGTTCTTATGAAAAAAATCTATTTTTAATTTTTTAATGTATTCTTTGTTCCCCCCCCCCCTCCCCAGTGAATTGTTAAATATTATAAATTTATGTATGTTAATGATTTTTTATGCTTCGAATGTTGTCTACAAAATTGTCCAGCTATTTTTTTGTAAAATAATCAAATCGTTCTAAAATATCTTTATATCTTCCGTTAATGCCATTAATAATATATGATATTGAGATCGTTACAACAAACGGGAACTTCAAAAAGTATTTAATAATACCGTTAACGAAATGAATATTCCGTTAACGAAGGCTTGAAAAAAAATGAGAACTTGGTCAGCCCTATTTCTAGAACCATTATAAAAAAAAGTTAAAATTATATATTCTGGGTGGAAAATATATTCTGCTTATATTTATGCACTGTAAGTAAGAATCTAATAATAAAACAATATTTTCTTTGTTTTAGAATTAAGTTGATCAACATTAAGCATGCATGCAAGTAATTAACAAGACATAAAAGAAATTACCAAAGCTACCAAAATAATTAGAAAGCTGCTGCAGCATTAATTAACCAGGAAACTTGGATTTTAAAATACTAGGAAACCTAGAAACTAGAAATTTAAAATACTAGGAAACCAAGTAACTTTGAATTTAAAATACGAGGAAACAAAGAAACTTAGAATTTAAATACTAAGAAACCAAGAAACTAGGAATTTAAAATACTAGAAAAAAAACTAGGGAATCAAGAAACTTGTATTTAGAAAGCTAGGAAACCAAGAAACATCGAATTTAAAATACAAAGAAACAAAGAAACTAGGAATTTAAAATACTAGGAAACCAAGAAACTTTGAATTTAGAAAACTAGGAAACCAAGAAACTTGTATTTTAAAATAATAGGAAACCAAGAAACTTGGAATTTTAAGTACTAAGAAACAAAGAAAGTTCTAATTTAAAATATTAGGAAACTAACAAAACTTGGAATTTTAGATTCTAGGAAAACAAGAATTTTGGAATTTGTATAATACTAGAAAACCAAGAAACTTGGCATTTAAAATACTAGGAAACTATGAAATTTAAGTTTAGAAAATTAGGTAACCAAGAAACCAAGAATTTGGAATACAGAATACTTAGGATACTTGGTTTTAATACAATTTTAAAACAAGAAACTTGGAATTAATTAGGAAGCAAAAATACTTGGAATTTGGAAAAAAACTGGACATGATGCAAAAATGTATAATTTGTGATGGTTTGCACAACTTGTTTGAAAACATTTTCATTTTAGCTAGTTTTTGCAAATATAGTTGGAATATTGCAATTTTTCAAATATTTGTTCAGAAATTTCAACAGTAAAATATTTTCTTTTTCTTTGATTCCTTGCTACTAAATTTAGATCTAGCTTGGGAACCCAGTGTTGCCCACGTTACTCATAGTTACTCCTCACTGTTTACTCGTTTAAAATACGAGTTTAGCTTGTTTCCCTTTAAAAGTAGACCCACTGAACTTATAATCTCAAAACCATTCTAAGAACATTCCCTTGGTTCTCCCGAGTATCCCAACCAAAATTTGAGGCAAATTGGTCAAGAGGTTCCTGAGTTATGATCGGACATACAAACAAAGAAACGTAGATTAATAATATACTAATACTAGCTTCGGAACCTAGCGCAGAGCCAGGCCTCAGTTATTATTTCCGCCCTTTGTTGTTAATTACAAGTTTAGCTTTTTCCCGTTCAAAGTCGAACAACTACACGTAAAATCTCAAAACCAAGCTAAGAACATTCCCGTAGGTCTCCCGAGTTCCCCAATAAAAAACTGAGGCAAATCAGTCAATGGGTTCCTGAGTTGTGATTGGACAAACAAACAGAGATTACACCTGTTTCAATTAGATAAGATAATTGTCTATTTGTTTGGTAGTAAGGAATTCAAATTATTTCATAATGGGTGAAAGGGTGAAAGAGGGCGTTTCTTATTAAATCTCATTAAAAGGACTTTTTGACCTTTATGTGATCAACGGAATGGTAAAGATATTTTCGGTTTTTTTCTTTTAAATGTAAATGTTTTTATTACTGTTGTCTAAAATCCGTAAGTTACATTTTAGCAGACCATAATTTATCAATTTTTGTGAAGAAAAATATGGACATTTCCATAATTTTACTGTTACAAAGGGTACCGTTGTTCATCGGGCATATTCATATTATGTTCATATATGTTCATATTTAATTAAATTTTCAACTAAAAGTACGTGTACAGTTCTTTTAGATTTAATTTAATATAAAACAGATAAAAGCTAAAAATAGAAATAATTAAGAAAATTACTCGCCTTGTCAAAAACAGTTTCATCATTTAACTGTAAACAGTCTCTACTGGTCCTTTATAACAATATTTAAATTATTTTATTCAAAAATAAATGCAAAATGTTCATAAACAAAGAAACTGACAACTTCGCTCAAACTTAGATTACTCTAATTCTTATATCTTTACAACCTGGTTTAGTTGTAAAAAATATAAGGATGAGAAAATTTGTGTTGGGTGTGAGTGATCAGTTTCTTAATTAAAGAGAAATTATATAACTCAAAATTCAAAAGTTGCATGCAAAAACAAAGAGAACAGATTAATACAGAGTGGAATTAACTCGAAAAATTGTAAAAAAAATTTGTTGAGCTGTTACTATACTGTAGGTGTACTTCACACATTTGTGCCGTGTAACCTTTTTGGCCCTGGAACATTTCTGCGATTATTCACTTTAATACAAAGGACGATATTTACGTGTTGATGTTTAATAAAATAATGATTTTAATTAACCAATAAATAATACACACATTAAAAGTTATTTAACAACTTTGTAAAAATAAGAAATTTTAACGGATAATGGACTGTGTATGATTTGTGAACATTTACATGAATTGTACTGCACTTTGAATTCGTGTTCAGACTGAAAGGGACTGACAAACTACATACCGAGGGATTGTCTAATTTCCTTTCTATTCTAATCTTTGTTCTGTGTGCAAAAACTTTGCATTCAAAAACATTGATAAAAAAAGTATTTGTCACAATTAAAAAATTATAATTCTTTTATCTTTGCAACTTGCTGATGTATTTCATATTTATTTCAAACTTATAATATAGTTCATCTAACAGAATTCAAAGTTTGGCAATGGGTTGCAAAGATATCAGGTTATTTTTGGCGAAGACTCGGTGTCTTACAGTTTTGATCACGAAATATAGAAATTATTCGTAAATTGGAATTATTCTATGTTAAAAATATTTAAAAGTTGTTCCTGAGTGCAATTCTAAGACCTATACTCATGTTGTGTGTAAGATGATGAATACTGTCCTGAAATAGAAATTAATGATCATGATACAGGGTGAGCTCCTAGGATCATGATACAGGGTGAGCTCCTAGGATCATGATACAGGGTGAGCTCCTAGGATCACGATACAGGGTGAGCTCCTAGGATCATGAAATAGGGTGAGCTCCTAGGAACATGATACAGGGTGAGCTCCTAGGATCATGTTACAGGGTGAGCTCCTAGGATCATGATACAGGATGAGCTTCTAGGATCATGATACAGGGTGAGCTCCTAGGATCATGATACAGGGTGAGCTCCTAGGTTGGGGGAACCTAAATATAATATGAAAATTCTATTTTAAAAAATTGTTAGCATAAAAATTAAGTTATGTCGCCGATATCCTAAAATACATCCCTATGTTTTATTTTTATTTTTCGTTCTTTATTTTTCATGAACAATTATTTTTGTTTGATAATGATTTCAAAGTTATCAGGTTTTGCCGCTGGTTAACGGAATATTAAATACTTTAACCCTTTTCCTGGGGGGGGGGGGTAATTTGACCTCCATCATCTGTAGTTTTTTTACATAACTCAAAACGTATTGGTCTGAGACTGTTGAAATTTTCTGACTTTTCCTACATACCCAAAGCCCTCCCTTTAAGGTCTAAAACCTAGGTTTTAAACTAACTGCCTGAATCCTCAGGCACACTGCCTGACTGACTACTTTTTCGTGTAACAAACTAAATCATTGATTTGACCCACTTTCAGTTATCAGATTTTGATAATGTTTGCTTTGAGAAAGCTTATGATATAAGGAAACGGATTGCACAAATTTTGCAAAGAAATTTTGAAAATTGTTTGCATACAACTTGTCAAAAGAAATTTGTACATTTTAAGTTTTTCTTAATTACACATATGGCTATTCAAAAAATTATATTATTTTTTGGAATTTTTTTTGCATACAGTTTTAAAATATAACTGGATTTAGCAAAACAAACAATTTTTGCATTTTTGTGTGTATTAAGTTTGTTAGATCATTAATACTGTCCAAAGTAAACTTAAACTAAATAAATTTTAGATAAGTTTGACTGAATACCTGAATACTTTTTCTTCTTGTTGTTGAAGCTCCAAATGTTGGCGTACTTTGACCAACAGCTATAGAGTGCCGACGTCCAGGCAAAATACTGAATATATAATTCCAAATAGGTTTTCAAGTACAATAGATGGCAACACAGAATGCGTACACTTTCAGTACAGCTGTATTTACTTCATAAGTGTTAACTCAAATTCTGTGTCTAAAAAAAAGCTATCAATAAAAATGATTTAGTTTACATAGATATACAGAGAGTTGAGTTGTAAATATTTTTTTACGAAGAAGAAGACATTTAACTACGCTGAATCTTTGAAATCATATAAACTAATTAGAGGACATGTCGTCTTTCTTTTTACATTTGACACTTGTGACGTTGTTCGTATGGTTGGTCGAATTTTCTGTTGCCATCTATTGTACTTGACAATATATTTGTATAATTCTTAATTTTTATAAATATTACTGAAATCCCCCATTGGCTTACAGCAATTATTCGATGTTTCTGATACAATTTTAACAAACTGAACTCTCATAGGATAATTAGAGATTTTCAAAAATATTAACTTCACTCTTTGTTTCTAAAAATAAAAAATTAGTTCATTTTTTGGTGAGATCAACAGTACCAAATTCCGACCATGTTCCAGGCCTTTTAGAGAACATAAATACTGTAAGTTTGACAATATGCTCCTCCACAAATTAATTCTTTTCTTTCGAACCTTTTCTCCAGAGCCCCCTCCTCGGCCCCCCCCCCCACCCCATCTTCCTGAAGATTAATTAATATACTACCTAGCACTACCTCTGGCATTCATGGTTAATATTCTAATATTCTAAAAATATACCTGGGTTTCCCGTGGGAGACAGTCCCAACATTGGCCGCCGCCATTTTTCTGAAAACTTTAACTTTCTTAAACTTTATTTAATCTTGTCCTAACTCATATATATCTTATTGGGAAAGTTGTATTTATATTTAGAACTTTTTCAAATTTTACAGAAAGATAAATATAACTTTTAAAAATGGGCAGTTTTCACGAAAAATGAAATAAAAGCGAAATGATCGTTTTTAAAATAAAGCTTTTTTATAAATAAGTGAAGTTTTTTTAATTCTTCAAATACATCGTTAACTTATACATAAACCTTTGTTTAACAATCATGAATGTCTAATAGCGTCTGATTAAACGCGAAGCAAAAAAAACGACTGTGTTTTCTTTTGTTTTAAAATTAAAGGAAAATTATAAAATAATGATATTACTTTTCATGGCTAACAACCTCATCTTTTAGGAATTTAAAAGCTTTCATTCATTGGAAGTTGTATGAACCAAGTTCAATAATGCGTAAAAGAGGCAGGAACCGAGTTTAAACCAGGACGATTATCTGAATTCTTAAAGAACGGGTGAGAAAATATACTTCAGTCCCGCATACCATCTAGCGGGGTTCACATACACTTTATATTCGGCAATGTTATTATCAATTGGAATACCAGACCTTTGTCGGGTATATAGTGAGGCAGGGCAAACTTCCCTTAAAAGGTGTGTCGTAACAATGTTAAGAGATTCTCTATTTAAAAATATAAAAATGCCAGATTTAGAAAGGTGCCTTTGAAACTTTTATTCAGTCAATAATGTGGAAGATGTTGTTGTTTTTCTAGCTTGTAAGGCGTTAATTCTGAAAATTTCTCTATGGTTTTCTAAATAATCATTTTTTAAAATTATGAATATGGATGTATAAGTCATACTTGATCAGACAAAGCTTTTAAAGGCACTGTAGTGAATCGGACATGCCAACCATTAATAAAGGTCACTTTAAATTACGATCCCATCCACAACCGATGGAGATTTGAATATCCGAGCTGGGCCTCAGCCTGACCAGTCCTGTTTTAACTGTACTGCCAATTTACAATTTCAAAAGCGATAGTCTGGCAGACCCGTGTCATTATTTAACAAAAGAAAGAAAGGAGTTTGAGAAAACTTTGTAAAACTCTGTTAAAGGGACTGTAAGCCTAATAAAACTCTGTTAAAGGGACTGTAAGCCTAATAAAACTCTGTTAAAGGGACTGTAAGCCTAATTTCAACAGACTCTCCATGCAATCATGATAATACATGTTCGCAAAAAAAAGAAGATTGAATCCGAATTTAATTTGGATAGATCATACTTGAATTTAGGGCTGGGCACGTTCCAACTTTTCCTAACCGTTTTCCAACTGGTAAAAAAAATCAATTAGGCATTCGTCAACGGTATTTTTCATTATTTTTTTAAGTTTCCTTTAGTTAATGAATAAACAGATCAGATACTCGGCCATTAGTGGCTTTGTTAACGGTTTGTTAAATCATTAAGGGCGCAAGCTGTTAATGGTTGTTTGTTGTATTCTTGGCGTTAACGGTTTATCAACTTGGATTTACAGCACAAGCAAGGCAGAAGACGAGATTTTTAAAAACATCAAAATACATTAAATATTTTTTTTGCAAGTTTCATGCAATTTTAGCAACAACAAAAAAGGATGCAAGTTGCTGTTTTTTAAAAAACCATCCATTTTGTTTTTGTTTTCAAACGTTAATTTTTTTCACGAAGGGCTAATGCTTTTTGTTATCGATCTAAAAGTTAACGGATTTCGCCATTCGTTAACAGATTCTCCCATTAATTTTTGAAAAGCTCCGTTTCATTAAGGAAACTTTGCCCAGTCCTATACTTGATCAGACAAAGCTTTGCATGGAAGGTCTCAATTGCGCTAACAATCCCATTTATAATAACAGAAAGTACACCCCGCCCCCCCCCCTCTCCAATATCATGTTCTCTTCTAGTTTTACACAAGGAGATTGAGCTAGGAAAAAAATTCTTGGCATATCCCTTGTCATTATTAAGACCTGTAGTTGGGTGGTAGAATGGAGGAGGAGCATCAAAGAAGGGAATTTTTTAACACATTCTTCCCTACTTGATGAGAAAATAAATGAATAGAATTGATGTAATATAAAGATGGTCAAAATTCAGATCGTTTATTGAAAAACAAGCATTTGGTGTTGACAAGTGTTTTGTTTTTACTGCAAATAAATCAATACATTATTATCAAATAAATTGGGTTGTTTAGGATTTAATGAACAAGTTTTATCACCACAACAATCTTCTAAACAGAAACCGCAATTGAAAATTTACAAATTGAAATTTTACAAAATTATAAACATTGATATCTTTGTCAGACAACGCTTAAAGGGTACATTGCCATCTTTTCATGGAGGGTCACTTGAAATTAATGTATATACTCTCACCACTCCTTTAAATGCAAAAACATTGTTTAAGTATTTTTTAAAAATGTAAAACTATGATTAAACATCAATCATTCAACTTTAACGGAACAAACTAATCTCCTAAAGGCATAATATTTTTTGGTTTTCTATTTGTGTACATTGCTTTAAACTACTATCTTCATAGGTATTTGGAAATGTTTATATTTAAACTAAACTTTTTGTTCAAATCCAAATAATTTTAATGATTTTTCCTTTTGGGGTTGGGGGCAATTCTAGGAAATCACTGCAGTTGTTTTTAATTAAGAAAAGTCTCTAAGCAGTCCTCTTGAAATGAAAGATATCTCTTACAATTTATATAAATAGTGAATTTAGAGAATTTAATTTTAAAAATTTAATAGCTTGAGCTACAAAAAAAAACTTAAATTGATGTTTGCCATTTTTTAAGCTTGTATTTAATAATTACCTAAGCAGGCGAGAAAAGGGGGTTTCACGGAGTTTTCATTTTAAAGTTTTTTTTTGCTTTGCGATTTTGTAGTGATGGCTGATTTAATTAAAATATATCTGTCTCCACTGCCACCAGGATCAACTTAGTTTGACTAGCTCATTTTAGTTCTTTTTCTAATCCTACCATTCACATTTTTGTTTGGAAAATTAAAATGAAAGTTTAACTACTATTTTAACATTTAAGGTCTAGTTTTGGTCTAGTTTTGGTCTAGTTTTGGTCTAGTTTTGGTTTAGTTTTGGTCTAGTTTTTCTTTAAATCTTTAAACGTTTCAAGACTTCTAAAAGATTGTTTCACAAACATCAGAGAAGTTTTATAAAAAAGGGAAGTTTCACAAAAATCAGAGAAGTTTCACAAAAATCATTAAAGTTTCACAAAAATCATAGAAGTTTCACAAAAATCATTAAAGTATCACAAAAATTAGAGAAGTTTCATAAAAATCAGAGAAGTTTCACAAAATTCAGAGAATGTTCACAAAAATCACAGAAGTTTTACAAAACTCAGAGAAGTTTCACAAAAATCAGAGAAGTTTCACAAAAATCATTAAAGTTTCACTAAAATCAGAGAAATTTCTCAAAAATCATAGAAGTTTCACAGAAGTCATCAAAGTTTCACAAAAATCAGAGATGTTTCACAAATATATAAGAAGTTTCACAAAAATAAGAGAAGTTTCACAAGAATCAGAGAAGTTACACAAAAATCAGAAAAGTTTTACGAAAATCAGAGAAATTTTACAAAAATCAGAGAAGTTTCACAAAAATCAGAGAAGTTTCACAAAAATCAGAGAAGCTTTACAAAAATCAAAGAAGATTTACAAAAATCAGAGAAGTTTCGCAAAAATCAGAGAAGTTTCTCAAAAATCAGAGAAGTTTCACAAAAATCAGAGAAGTTTCACAAAAATAAGAGAAGTTGCACAAAAATAAGAGTAGTTTCACAAGAATCAGAGAAGTTACACAAGAATCAGAGAAGTTTCACAAAAATAAGAGAAGTACAAAAATCAGAAAAGTTACATAAAAATCAGAGAAATTTTACAAAAATCAGAGAAGTTTTACAAAAATCAGAGAAGTTTTACGAAAATCAGAAAAGTTTTACAAAATTCAAAGAAGTTTTACAAAAATCAGAGAAGTTTCACAAAAATCAGAGAAGTTTTACAAAAATCAAAGAAGTTTTACAAAAATCAAAGATGTTTTACAAAAATCAGAGAAGTTTCTCAAAAATCAGAGAAGTTTCACAAAAATCAAAGAAGATCAGAGAAGTTTCACAAAAATCAAAGAAGTTTCACAAAAATTAGAGAATTTTCACAAATATCATAGAAGGTTCACAAAAATAAGAGAAGTTTCACAAAAATAAGAGAAGTTTCACAAAAACTAGAGAAATTTCAGAAATTCCTTAATTTTTATTTTAAACATTTGGTTTCCTTACACTTTGCCAGATTTTAATTCTGAGAGTGAAGATAATAAAAAATAACCAAAAAGTTTTTGTTTTTTAGTCTTTGTTTTTTATTTATTCTTTGCTAATTCATGCACATCACTAATCCAGTTATTTCTTAAATACTTTAAAAGAATGATTAAATATTTTCTTTTGAAATATTTTGTATTGAAACATGAAATTCACTTTTAGTTTCTCATTTTCAGGTTGAACATTTATTAATATATTATTTGAGGTTTTTCAATCTTTTAATAACAAGTTCACAACTCATTTTTAAATTCTTAAGAATTAATATTAATAATGACAATTAAAACCAACCTTTTAAAAAGAAAGCTTTGATTGTCAAACCGAACCCTGAGGCCACCCCCCCTTCCCTTCCTTTCCTCCCCCCTGAAAAGGGAACAAGTTGGAATGTATTGATAAGACAGGGTCAAAGAAGCTCAATCGCCCACCATTCCCCCTTTTCCCTTCTCCCTCCTCTTCCCCTTGGAGAAATGACCAGCTGGGTTCAATCAAGGGTGCAAGTACAGATTCAGTCAATGGTAAAGTCAATTTTAAAATGCTCTAATTGGAGAAAGGTGGTATTGCCAGAATATTAAGGAAGACCTAACATAGAATAACTTCAGTTTAGTACGAAACGAAGGCCTAGAAAAGGTAAACCAACTTACTCCTGTTCCTGATGGAGGGGTTAGGAGGATAATCTCGAGCAAATCAACACTACGAA